AATGGGCAACTAATGTATTAAATATGCTAACAGTGTCTTTCCCCTTTAGTGGGCCAGGTCTTTTTTTGGAAATCTATTTAACAGGTCGCAAAATCATTCACGAAGCGGTATCGCTAATTTCATTCCCTTTTTGTAAAATCACAATGTCCTACAACATATTTGTATTTCATTGACTCATCACGCCTTTTTTACTGTAGCCACTCTAAAGTTTTTGTTGTTTTTTGTTTGTTTTTTTTGGAGGGGGCATTTATTTTATACACTTTATTACATTTTTGGGTATTTATTTTTAGGTATTTCTAAAAATTTATTTATTTGTACTTATTATTCGGCTCAGTAGGTCATTAGGAAGTGGGTAAAGTTGCTGTAAAGGTGAAAGCTCAGTGTTAACCTTTATGAGGTAATAATTGTGTTGTCATTGTTGCTTGTTAACGGCACTTGTAAATGTTTTAGTGAAAACCCTTTGTCCGTGAGATATCCGCCGGTCCCTCAAGGGTCATTGGAGGTAGCTGGTGACCTATTGATCAGGACATGTTGTCTTGTCATCGGAGATGGGTAAGGGCACACAGTTTCAGTTCAACTGCACATCGGGAACTGGCTCAAATTTGAGATGCAAGATTTAACTAAAGAGTTTTACTTTAAGTGCCAGTGGAGGCCACTGGTCACCTCCTGGTCACGAAGGACCTGATGGCCTTCTGGGGTTGGTAAGAGTACAAGGTTTCAGCTCAATTTAACATCAGGAAGTGGTTCAAAAGTTCGATGCCAAATTTGACAGCAGAGGCCATTCAAGGGTCAGTGGTGGTCACTGGTGACCTACTGATCATAAAGGGTTGTATAGTCGTCTGGTGTTGGATAAGTGTACAAAGATTTAGCTCAATTGGACATCGGGAAGTGTGTAAACATTGAGATACAAGATTTGATCCCTATATCCGGGCAAAAATCGCCAGATCAATTAAGGCGTGTAAGCAGAAGCCGCACAAAGGCAATTGGACCGTAAATGCCACCCGAAGCGTACCGCCCTCCACTCCCCCCCCTCCGCTCCCCCCACCTCTGCCTACGTAAGTGTTTTTCTTTTAACCTGCTACAGACGACAGGATTGCTTCACGACCTATGGGGGCTCGTGTCGTATCGTTATCAAATGTTGACTCTTCTTGCTTTACTAGGGAGGTTAATACCGCTTTCTTTTTTCTTGTATTTTTTAAATTTTATTTTTCAAACCGGTTTTGGGTTTTAAAATCTCGGTTTTAATCCGGTTTCCGGTATTACAATAGAGGATCGAGACCTGCAGCAACATCTGATAACGTAGTTCCTGTACTTTTTGTGTTGTTACTAAGATATGAATACATAATTTTAATTCGTCTTTCCTTAAAATACGGGTTGGGAGGGGGGGGGAGTAACAGTCTTGGTTGAATTCCCACCCCCACCCCCTGGGTACTTGACCCATGTCAGCTGTGCTTTGAGAACAGTTCCACAAAGGCCTTTAAAGATCAACACGATATCTTTGAAGACCGTGCCATTCACTTGGTAGGAAGAGTGGGCATTCTCTTTACAGTGTAGTTTTGGTTAAAAGGGGGGGGGGAGGAGGAAAATCTGCCAACATGAAATTTTGTTTAACGGGAAGATCGTTCTAAATTAAACAAACGGGGATGGGAGGGTTGGGTAGGGGGGGGGGGGTTAATGAAAATTATAAAAAAATATATTATTAAAATTTTCTCATTTTCTTACAAATATCAGTTTTAACCAACCATTAAAACAAAGTATTTTAGTTAGTTTTATTAATTTTTTAAAAAAATGTTCTTCTTTTTTTCATATCACGATTCAAAATGATTCGACACTTCTTTTAGAACATCAACAACTGGTTTCCGGTTTCAACGCTAAAAAAAAAATTAAATACAGTATTCGTTGACATCCTTCATCTTTACATAATACATTTCTATGCACAATAAATGTTATGGTGTTTTCTCATTTAAAACTAAAGCTTACTTTACCGATTTGATTATATCTCTAGTTGCCGTAATTATTTAAGGGAAACATAGGATGTCGTTTGGTTCTCCTCGTGACAATCATAAACGTCACATTTAAGTTTAACAATCCTCCATGATACGAATAAACACATGAATATGGTACTACCGACCAAACTCTTCCTGGTCAACACAGTAGTGATGACATCCCCACCTACAGAACACGGGTCTGTGTTTGTTGACACAGCGGCGGTGTAATTTTTAAGTATCGGGGAATTCCGTTTCGATTTCATGCTTGAGATTTGGATTTGGAATGGAATTATCAGTGTTAACCGCGTGAATCAGGGGTCAGCAATCTCACAGACGCCGCGCAGCAGTTTTGAGTACCGCGCAGCTAATTTCCACTTGGAAAAAGGCTGACAATTTTGAGTAAAAAAAAAAATTGATTTTATAAAAATTTGCACACAACCTTATGATTTTGCACACGAACCAACAAACCTTGGAGGGAACATTGGTCATGACCAAGTGGTTTCTCTATGCTCTAGGAATGCTGGTTCAGTGTCAGAGGTCGAGAGGACCCGGAAATCAGGTTTATTTGAATAGTGTTCGTGGGGGGGGGGGGGAATATGTTTTAATGTTTTGAAATGGATATGGGGGGGGGTGAAATTAGAACATTGGTCATGACCAAGTGGTTTCTCTATGCTCTAGGAATGCTGGTTCAGTGTCAGAGGTCGAGAGGACCCGGAAATCAGGTTTATTTGAATAGTGTTCGTGGGGGGGGGGGGAATATGTTTTAATGTTTTGAAATCGATATGTGGGTGTGTGAAATTTGTTGAAACGGAGAGGTTGTGCTGTGCTGCAAAACAGTTTAAGAACCACTGTGGTAAATACAATAACTTTAAACACGGTACTAGTAGTTGTTAGAATGTATGGCTATGCTAAAAGGACAAACTCATTTTTATAACACAATGAAGGATATTAACGTTTACCAGAGGAACCGTACAGGCTTACAATACCTCTAAAAGAAAACCTTCACAACTACAGCCCCCCCCCCCGTCAAATCTCTGCAGGTACTGGACAATTCCAACAACCCTCCGAAAAAGAACACCCAACAAAATATTTCCTAACAAACTTCGCGTCACCTCACCAAAACCATATCTCCTCTTCACCTCTCTTCGCCGTTACTCGTAACCCCAAAACACCATCAGCTCCATTAACCACCAAAGCAACCCTCCAACCAACACCATCACTGCTCATCAACACAAAGATACCCACCTTACATCCTACACCAAAACTAACATAACCACCCTCACCAACATAACCACCCTCACCAACATAACCACCCTCACCGAAACCACCACCGTCACCAACGCCGCCAGCCCTCAGTAGATTAACGAGACACACACTATGTAAATAAAATTATATTTTATGCTATAATTTTTATTAGGCAAAATACAAATTCAAATGTTTCTGCTAATTTATTCACGAGTACAACAAAAATAATAATATAATAATAAAATAAAATTACATAAATAATGTACATCCTAGATATGTGTAAAGAACAGAAAGGATTAAAAATGGGAACAAGCCTCTAAAACAAAAGAAAGAAAAAAGGGGTCAGAACGGAGAGAAAGAAGGAGGAAGTACAATTTAAAAACCAAACACAAAAACAACAACATTACAAATAAATAAAATTATGAATTTAGTTTATACCGTATGGATTCAACGTACCGAATATTTTCCTTAATTTGTTTTACTTATAAATTATATTAGGTGTATTACTACCATACAATATTCTATTAATAGCAATATCTGTCCATTATGGTTAGCACTAATGAACTGTTAATAAGCGGGGCATTGTCATTATGATGTTGCAAGGATGATTTCTAAAACGGTCTCCGAGGCGACAACCTCTATCTCCTAGGTATGATTTCCCGAAGCCTTTAACTTTCTTTGACTCTTCTTATCTATACCAGGCATGTCGAGCACGAGGCCCGCGGGCCGGTTGCGGCCCTTTTCAAGTACCCCTTCAGCATGCACAGCGATCTATGTAATTTAAAACTGGAGATACGTGCGTCGATCACAGAAAAATGGCATGCCCTTCCTTATTCATAATTTTGTATTTGGAGATATCCTATCACCTTTTAATCGATTTGAAAAGAACAAGTGGGAAAAAAGGAACGCAGCTGTGGGGCAAGCGAGTTAAGATGTCTTAAAGATTAACAAACACTGAATCAATTTATTTGTATCTTTATTTTGCGTTGTTTTAAAGGAGTTCACCGAGTGCATTGCTACCATATAACTTACCTACCATCTATGCACAGCATTAAGACGGTCTTTATTTCTAAATTCATGCGAAATGACGTGCGGCCCTCGGAAGGTTAACTTGCTATTGAAGTGGTCCGCGAAGACATCTGGTGTTACTACCCCCTGTTCTATAAATTTATCGACATTTTTTTTTTATATAAAGCTTTTGGGATACAAGAGTTCTTTTATGTATCTTTTCTAGGAACTCCGTTTAATTGAGGAGGTAAGACCATGTCGGTCATAATCTGGTTGCGATCCGATTTTTGGTTTCTTGCCGATAAGTTCTAAATTCAGATACAACCATGATAACAAAGATAAACACATTGAGCCTTAAATGACCGAATAGGAAGAGTTTGGACAGGTTAGCCATTTTTTTTTAAAATTTAAAAAAAAAAAGATTTTACAGCAGTTAAAAATAAGGAAATGATAACACTTACTTCTTATATTTGACAGAAAAATCTTGATTTTTAAAGTAATGACACATACGTTCTTTTATTACTGTAAACTTGGTTTTTGAAAAAAACAAAAAAACTTCCGGCAATGACATTAATGGCGAACACTTAAGTTTTTGAACCACTTTCTATTTCTTTTATTATTTTTTTTTTTTTATGTATCATGTCTGCTGACGAAGGCTCTTAGTCGAAACTTTCTTTTTTTTTTTTAATTGTTCAGTCTTTCTATTTAAGCTTCCACATACACTGCTCTGCTGTTTCCTTCACACAGCTTGAACGCAGCCCTTCATTTAGTATCCTTTAAAAATAAGGATATGGACAGGGTAAGAGGTGGGTGGGGGAATATGGGACTCTTACTTACTTATCCTTACAACGCATAGACGTAATAGGTTAAACAGCTTTATACAAAGTTTTAGACTGTAACTAAAATCTACGTCTATACATTCGAATGTAGGTCATGTTTAAACATTAGTTTTTTTTAAGGTTCTAGATCAGTGGTTCCCAAACTTTTAAGTTTGGCGGACCGGTGAACAAGTTTCGAAATTTTACCAAGGACCGGTGCATGATTTATTTTTATACTTTTATTTCTATTTGACAATAAATATTTATGTTATGGTGAGCATTAGGCATGCGGACCGGTGAAGGTCCACGGACCGCCATTTGGGGACCACTTTTCTAGATCATAAAATATTATGCCATAAGATATATTGTTTCTTTTTGTTGTTTTTTTAGTCATTTTAATTCAAATGTTCCTTCCTATTAATTATCTATCAATTTTTTTCGTCGATTACAAATAAACAATGACAGTTGTTTAACGGTATTAAAGAGGAGCCTAATTATTAAATTACCGATAGCTATCTTAAAACACTGACCAAATGCACAGTTGTCTAGCAAGCAATCCATCTAAAAATCTATAGCCTCCATATTGATCAAGTGGCAACAATACCGAGGAAGAGCCACTCAGGAACATCATGCTTTGTCAATGGCACACATATTGTTAAACAAGCGACGACAGTATAAGTCAATCACTATCGGAATCATTTTCATTTAAATCAACATCACTGTCTGAAACATCTGAATCGGTATAAAAATCAAAACATTCCATTTCCATGTCATTAATGGGGCTATGTTTGGCCAGATAATAAAGCATCTTGTCAGATTCGGTGTATCCATTTTCTGGGTTAAATCCTTCATTGCGGAAGAGTAGCCGTTCTTTAAACACCCACGGAAGTTGAGTAGCCTCGATTCTTTCCGCTCTGTCATGGCCGACACCAATGGAAGTGGACACAACGATAAAGCTGAGCAAAGTCAAAGACAGCGGCTGCAACTCTCGTAGAAAAGATGCACACTTGGTGTTACCACTCTGATCCATTAAATTTATAATTGACAAGTTCCTTGAGAGATTACGCACATCAGACTGGGTTAGATACCAAATGTCAAGGAAATGGCGAGCGAGTCTGACATTATTCATAAACAGAGCAATACTCAATGGAGAAACGATGCGTGTTGGCCAAGGACGATAACTTTCCAGAGAAATATCCTGAGGAGCTAGTCCCCCTTGGATCAATTTTTGCACCAATGTTTCATGACTTCTGGCGATAGCTCGGTGAATGATACCTGGATTCACATGACGAGCCGTTGCGCCATGGTCAAGCAAAAATTCAGCTACCTCGACACATTCCTCTTGTCCAGGTAAATAACTTTCTGCAAGTAGAATGGACAAAGCAGTTTCCTTAACACCACTGTCTGAGGTTACCGCGTGAATATCGGCGCCGGCATCATATAAAATGTTTATAACATCCATGTCACATTTGGATGCAAATAACATTAACACTGTCATTCCAGATTTATTTCGATGATTGACACTGCTCCCTGCCTGCACTAATGTCTTTATAACATCTTCGTAGAAAAAACTCCATTCACTTAGGCTCATCAAAGGGATGTTTCCTTCGTCGTCTTGCACATTCACATCTGCGTCATGTTCCAGCAGAAGTTGCAACATCTCCATTCTTCCGTAAAGAGGAGGAAATTTATGCAAGGCCGTGGAACCGTTAACATCCCCCAAGTTAACATCGGCTCCTAACTCAAGTAATAACTTGGCGTTTTCTAAATTTCTGCCCTTCACAGCCAAATGGAGTGATGTTCTTCCTACTTTGTCCCTATAGTTGATGTCAGCGCCGTTTTCTATCAACAATTTAAGAATATCCTGGGCCCCTTCTAGGACTGATCCAATCATCAGGGCAGTGCGACCAACGTCAGAAGTAGCATTAACATTTGCACCGTATTTCAGAAGAACGAACAGAATTTCTTCAATGTAAAGGAAACAGTTGACATTGACATGTGGACTGATAAAGTCAAACGTGGCTTTAAGTTGTGTAATGTATTCGTCCGACAATACTTTAATAAGTGCAGTGGTATTAGTTTTGATGTTGGCGTCACAGCCTCTCTTTAAAAGCAGTTCTATCATCTCATGATGATAGGCTACCATTAACGGAGTCTTCTTGTTATGAACATAGTTAACATCCACGCCAGCGTCCAGAAGTAAGGCGACGATTCGACTGTGACCTTTCTCTACCGCAACGTGCAACAAATCTGTTCTGTCATTCGCTATAACATTCTTTGCACAATTCGGAAAACATCGTAGTAAAAAATTCAAAGATTCGAACTTTCCTTCTACCACAGCATGCGGTACTGCAGATTCTTGGATAATCTTAGCTCCATTCGCCAACAGCACCTGAGCACATTCTATTTGTTCAAGCTGTAACGCAACATCTAATGCCGAGCCATCGTATGTGACCTGACAATCCGCACTAAACTCAGACATGGCGACTTTGTAAGATGCAAACAACGCTATCAGATCCGGACGTCCTTGCCTGACCGCTGACACCAGTACGTCACGGTACACGTGTGCTCCATACCGACACAACAGATCCACTAGTCGTCCGTCCCCTATGTCCACTGCCAATAAAATTGGTGTCCCGACATTCGGCTCAAAAACATTGACTTGGAATCCAGTTTCCAGCAGTTTCGTGACGATCTCCATTTCGGCGTCGTCTATCACGCGACTTCTTTGTCTTACGGATTGTATGAATAGCAGCACAATCTTGTTATCGTTGCTGCCTTTATCATGTATGAAAGAATAATGGCAATGTATCAAATAATTCAGAGATTCTATGTCACGTGACAAGGCTGCGGCTATTAAAGGTGAGTTGCCTTCTTTTGTTTTCAGTAACTGGACAATTTTTCCTACACCAATCCGGTCAGATATATTTTGGGCACTCTCTCCTCTGCTGTTGACCAACACGTTGAGGTCCGCCCCTGATTCTAAGAGCAACCTGACGACGTCCAGGTTAATCGACTCCACTGCTTTCATTAAAGCCGTCGACCCGTCAATGTCCTGGTGGTCTACATTGACACCGGGATGGTCCAGAAAGCATTTTGCAATTTGTAGCGAGCGTAAACATTTTAAGCAAAGGTGGAGAGCTGTTTCTTTCTTTCTATTCTCTATATTTACATTTTTCGCTCTCTCCATTAGCACCTTGAAAATTTCGGAAAATCCGAGTTCGGCAGAAATCAGCAAAGGAGCGCAGCCCTCCTCATCCTGGTAGTCCGCATTTGCCCCTAAATCTAGAAGAAACTGGGCCAATATTTGATTACCACATTTGCAGGCTAACAAAATAGCGGAGTCCAGGGCGCTCCTGGAAATCAAACTATTCCGTTGAACGCTATTAATGAGATGAACAATTTGTTGAGAAGAATTTGATTTGGCTGCAGAGAGAAGCAACTCATCATTGATGGAAGTCGACAGTTCAATGGCTTCTTCCAAAGGATCCATTGTCAGGTACACATTGCAATCTCAGTGTGGCAGTCTTATCTGTGAATACGTGAATGGAAACAATGGTGTTAAGTACCGCTTTTATCCTGTTGAAAATTAAAATGTTTCAACATTGGGCTCGTTAAATGAACAAACAATATGTAGCATTAAATAAAAAAAACAATATAATTAGAAAAACAATATAAACGCTAGTGATATTGACAATATTCAACTTAATTATATTGTTTAATTTTTTTACAAAAATGGAAAATCAAATGAAAAAAAAATCCATATTAACTTACACCACGGCAAGGGAAAAAGTACAGTTCTCATATTATACATATTTATTTATTTATTTAGGCATTTTTATATAGCGCTTACCTTAAAGCTCTAAGCGCTTTACAATTATTAAAAACACGTAAACTAAGTAAAATAAAAATGAGACATTAGGATAGTAACTACTATACTATAGAAACAATTAAAATTGCTATAAAACGAGGACACTTTGATACGTTTTTGCCTATACTTCAGGATCAACCTGAAACAGAAAATGAGGCAGGGCAAGGAGGGTGCATCACAGGTCATAGGCGGACCTAAACAGATGAGTTTTAAGGGACTTTTTGAAAATGGACGAGGTTTCACAATGACGGATATGGAAGGGGAGCTGGTTCCAGAACGTGGGTTCATGGAAGTAGAAGGAGCTTTCACCGATGGTCTTAGTTTTGGTTCTTGGGATTGAGAGGGTTCTATTGTCAATGGAAGAGCGTACTTGTCTTGTGTGGATGTAAGGAAGCAACAGTTCAGAGAGATAGACAGGAAAGTGAGGGTCAGTGAACGAGATGAAGCAAAGATTGGCTAACTTGTACTTGATGCGAGAGGATATTGGAAGCCAGTGGAGTTGCCGCATGTGTGGTTGAATGTGATCATGTTTCTTTGATTTAAAAATGAGTCTGCATGCTGAGTTCTGTGCCTTATGAAGTTTGTCTATGTGGTGTTGAGGAATGCCTGCGAGAAGAGTGTTACAATAGTCAAATTTTGAAAGAATGAGTGAAGAGACGAGAGTTTTTGTGGCATCAAAGGAGAGGGGGAGTCTAATGGTGCAGATTTTTCTAATTTCGTTATATGCTGATCTGCATATATTCGTGACATGTTTGTCCATGGAGAGGGTGTCTGTAAGCGTGACTCCAAGGTTTCTGGCAGAGGGAGAGAGTGTGATGTCAGAGTTGCCAATAGATATAGAAGAAGGAGCGAATGGAGGGAGAGGTTTGTTTTGAGAGTGGATGAGAAGGATTTCCGTTTTATCATCATTTAGCTTCAGTTTGTTGCAAGTCATCCAACGCTTTACATCGTCCACGCACTCCTGTATGCGAAGGATTGTGGCATCAAGTTGATCAGGAAAGCAAGAGTCACTGATTTGAGTGTCATCCGCAAAGGATTGACTGGAAACTGAGTGGTGGCTAATGAGAGATGATAGAGGTTTAGTGTAGAGGATGAAAAGGACCGGCCCAAGGACCGATCCTTGAGGAACTCCAATAGACAGGGCTGAAGGTTTGGAAGAGCGGTTGGAAATAGAGACTGTTTGAGTTCTGTCAGAAAGATATGATTGAAACCAGTTTAAAGCTGAGCCAGTAAGTTCGAAAGAAAGATGAAGACGGTCAAGAAGAATCTGTTGGTCAATGGTATCAAATGCAGCAGAGAGATCTAACAGAGTGAGAATAGAGAGTTTGCCATCGTCCATCGCGCACAGGAGGTCGCTCATGACTCGGACCAGTGCTGTTTCTGTGCTGTGGCCAAGTCGGTAGGCGGACTGAGAGGAAGGATAGAGATTGCGAGAGTGAAGATAGCCAGAGAGCTGAGAGAATATGAGTTTTTCTATGATTTTTGAGAGAAAGGAGAGGTTGCTGACGGGGCGGTAATTCTTGAGTGTGTTTGGATCAAGTGAGGGTTTCTTTAGGAGTGGCAGGACTATCGACCGTTTAAAAATCAAATACCGCTATACACATATTAATGCACAAACACATACAGATTACAATTTTGAAAAGCACCTACATTACGCCTTGTAAATGTCTAGGAAATTCAGCAAAAATCCTCCCCCCCGGGGGTCCCCCCCCCCTGGGGGCTGAGTTATCTGCCGGCTTAGTTCAAAGGGGAAAGTAGTAGCCCTACGGAAAAGAAATTTTAGAAATTGCATCACCTGTTATCGTTCTTTGGAACCAATATAATATTAAGCACCTTTTCCTAATTTAAGGTAGGGTTGGGCTGGTCAAGTTCAATACATCTAATCCAGGGGTCTCAAACACAATTCACCCGGGGGCCTCAGGAGGTAGAGTCTGAGTGAGACTGGTCAAGTCAAATACATCTAATCCAGGGGTCTCAAACTCAATTCACCAGGGGGCCGCAGGAGGTAGAGTCTGAGTGAGACTGGTCAAGTTCAATACATCTAATCCAGGGGTCTCAAACTCAAATCATCCGGGGGTTCGCAGGAGGTAGAGTCTGAGTGAGACTGGTCAAGTCCAATACATTTAAACCATGGGTCTCAAACTCAAATCATCAGGGGGCCGCAGGAGGTAGAGTCTGAGTGAGACTGGTCAAGTCCAATACATCTAATCCAGGGGTCTCAAACGCAAATCATCCGGGGGCCGCAGGAGGTAGAGTCTAAGTGAGACTGGTCAAGTCCAATACATCTAATACAGGGGTCTCAAACTCAAATCATCCAGGGGTCGCAGGAGGTAGAGTCTGAGTGAGACTGGTCAAGTCAAATACATCTAATCCAGGGGTCTCAAACTCAAATCATCTGGGGGCCGCAGGAGGTAGATTCTGAGTGAGACTGGTCAAGTCCAATAATCTAATCCAGGGGTCTCAAACTCAAATCATCCGGGGGCTGCAGGAGGTAGAGTCTGAGTGAGACTGGTCAAGTTCAATACATCTAATCCAGGGTTCTCAAACTCTAATCATTCAGGGGCCGCAGGAGGTAGAGTCTGAGTGAGACTGGTCAAGTTCAATACATCTAATCCAGGGTTCTCAAACTCTAATCATCCAGGGGCCGCAGGAGGTAGAGTCTGAGTGAGACTGGTCAAGTTCAATACATCTAATCCAGGGGTCTTAAACTCTAATCATCCAGGGGCCGCAGGAGGTAGAGTCTGAGTGAGACGGGTCAAGTTCAATACGTCTAATCCAGTGGTCTCAAACTCAAATCATCCGGGGGCCGCAGGAGATAGAGACTGAGTGAGACTTGGCCAGTGCAAGTATTCCACAAAAGAAGAGATTACAAAGGCAATAAAGTACAACAGTTAAAATCTGCTCAACCTTTATTTTTTTAAAAAATACAATAAGGGTGGTCAAGAACTAGGCTTCACTTTGTTCCTCCTGCACCTCGTTGCCAGAGATCTGGCAGCGCTTCTTCTTACACAGCTGGGCAACAGTTGGCTTGAGAGAGGAAGCAACTGAGACCCTCAGTATAGCCTGAAGATGCTCATCAGTAAGTTTGGTACAGAATTTTGACTTAAGGGTAATAATCTCATACATTATCCATGCTCACCTGTTTTTCCATTCAGCTCTCCCTTCCTGAACTTCGAATTGCACTGACAATCAATTTGCTTTATTTGAATCGCAACTATTGGGGGGGGGTGTGCATCTTCCAAATTGAAGGATAATGGTCAGCAAAATGTTGAAATACCTTCCTGAACTTCGAATTGCACTGACAATCAATTTGCTTTATTTGAATCGCAACTATTGGGGGGGGGGGTGTGCATCTTCCAAATTGAAGGATAATGGTCAGCAAAATGTTGAAATGTGGCTCTGTCTGTTTTAAAGCCTAAAAACATGTCATCAAATATCAAATTCTTCCTATAGCTTTGCAATGGCATCAGTATACTTACTACTGAGGGGTGAGCCCGAGTCCATGAGTACTTTGCATGTTTGGAAATGACAGAAATTTCTCTAAGCATGATAACACACGTTTTGTGCAGAATGCCCTGACATTGTCATTGGCAACACTGACAAGCTACACGTGGTCTTGTAACCTCTTGTTAAGTACAATCAGCTCCTGTGTAATGTCAACAAGAAAAGCCACGTCCATGAGCCATTTGGGATCACTTGGTACAGGAACAACCACCCCATCCTTCTCCATGAAGGCTTTGAAGAATAAAACGTGTTCAAACAGTTAACAGGGGCAGGTACTATTTATGAATTATTGATGTGATGGAAGATTGTTATTGTTGGGAGAATGAATTTCGATTTTTTTATAGAAGAAAAGGCCTTTTCGACTAACCCTATTTTGAAAGTAAACAAGCTGACAGGCTCGGAATTTCCCTCACTCGTAAACACTAGTGGGCAATTTTGATAGGGATTCTTTGATACTGTGTCAGGTTGCTACGATTTGAACAATTATGGTTGTTTATTACCAACTTACTGACTTTTTAAACGTATCTCAAAACCGCACTTTGGCCCTGTTTGTCTCATAAAAGGCTATAAAATAAATACTTTCAGTCTGAATTTTTACAACGAGTTTTACCATTATAACCAACGTCCAAATCTATACAAATATAATCAAAATCAAAATTGGACTAGTCGGTGAGATTCGACTGAAACCGCCGCGAAGGGTCACATTATAGATATGAGAATGGGGAAAACGCGCGAGCCGTATTTACACTAAGCTTTGCTGTCATGTCGCGGGTCGCAAAATATCGTCTTGCCGGCCAACAAATGGCCCGCGGGCCGTGAGTTTGGACCCCTGATTTAATCGGAGGCATCGATATCAAAACAAAACAAAAAAAGTTGGAGCGGGTGTAAGCTTGAATGCAAAGCATGTAGCGAATAAAAATTAGGTCAAGACACAGGCTATAACAGAGCGTGATTGATATTCACGGTTCATTTTAGAAGTCAGCCCAAAGGACTTATTTCTTTTTCAGACGTTCTATACCACTTTAGCACACAAATTTCGTCAAGAAGAGACTCTTACCCATTGGACAGAATGCAGATCGAGTAAAAAAAAAAATACAATTTTTATGTGTTACTTCTATTTGAGTAATAAGGGTGAGAGACTGCATACTAGTCAGGTATAAGGAAACATGTATGAAAAAACCTTGGGGGGGGGGTTTGGGGTGGGTGGGGGTGAACAGGACGAAACAAAATAACGAACGTGTCGCCAAGAAGCCTTCGTCAGCTGACGAGAAAAAGGAAAACAGTATAAACAAATATAATTTTACTGTTGGTTGTTGTAATCATTTTATTTTAAACTTGCAATGCAACGTGTCGGCGATTAGCTAAAACAAAGCATGTAATTTATATTGCTGTCGGGTTCGTCGAGTGCGTTGTGCAGCTGGGTTATATGAGAATCTGGTCCGAGTGGCTACAGAAGCGTTTTTTTTTTTCAATTCTGACTTTTTATTTTAAAATGAAATAAAAAGCAAACATTGAATGAGGTATTCGATTCCACGTTTTATTTTGTCTTCTTTATTTATTGTCATCGTTCTACACGCTATATCCTTCAGTCCACGCGGTTCAAGGTTCCCTTCCGGGAAGTACTACAATCACTAATCTGTGGATAATGAATAGACAGCTTTGTGTCCTATGTTGATTGCATCCTATGCCTCGTACTACAATCACTATGTATAGACAATGAATAGACAGCGTTGTGTCCTATGTTGACCATAACCATTGACTCGTACTATAATCACTATATATAGACAATAAATAGACAGCCTTGTGTCCTATGTTGACCGTAACCATTGACTTTTACTATAATCACTATATACAGACAATGAATAGACAGCGTTGTGTCCCTATGTTGACCGTACCCAGTGTCTCGTACTATAACCACTATCTGCTATGGCCCACGAAAAGACAGCTATGCGCCACTTTATTGACTGCAGCCAGTGCCTAGTTCTACAATCACTATCTGTGGACCTGAATAGACAGCTTTGTGTCCCTATGTTGATTGTATCCTATGCCCGGTACTACACTCACTATCTAAGACAATGACTAGACAGCTTTGTGTCCCAATGTTGACCGTACCCAGAGTATCAAACGTCTTAATCCGACCCTGCATCGTACCAAGAAAAGAAAAAAAAATAGATTTCTAAACACATCACAGCGTTCAAAGTCATGATTGCAGTGTCCAAAGTCATGATTGCAGTGTTCAAAGTCATGATTGCAGTGTCCAAAGTCATGATTGCAGTGGAGGATTTACTACAAGACAAAACGAAACCATATTATTGGGTAAAAATTCCCGAAGGATGGAATAAAATAAATTCATTTAAATTAATATTTAAACATCACTCCAGTGGTAGTGCTACAGGTTTGATATTACTTGGGCTCTTGGCAAGCTGACGAGTTACTAGCCCTGGCAATAAACGGATGTTTTACTCGTGCTAAGAGTAGGCTGATTAAATAGTAACTCTTTCATTAACATCAGCGTCAACTAAAATATGTTCTTGGCTGACTTCGGTTCATGGATAACATTTCCACGAAAACAGATTTTTCTTTCCCGGAAAACAAAAACAAACAAAAAAAAATGTCGCGTCTATTTTTAGACCGCTAGCTCGACAAGGCCCGCTGTCAAACCTGAAAGGTGAAAAGACGCGATGAGTCAATGGGATACTAACAGTACGACAAGGCAGCATTGGTATTTGATGTCTTAATAATATTAGGCCCCTGTAAGGCATGTGGGTATTTGATGTTAGAGCAAAAGCCTCACAAGGCTTGGGTATTTGGTTTCGTTATTAGGCCCCTGGCATGGTATGGTTATTTCGTCTTTTACAACACTGACTGGCCCTGAAAGGGGCGGTTCCTGTTTTCGAAGAAATGGAATGAAAAACAGTGTGCAAAACAGGGTGGCATCTGTTAGATTACAATTAAAACTACTGCTCTTAACAAATCCATTAGTAAATGTTTGCTTTTTTTTTGTAAACAATTTTAATTCTAACAAGGACCCCAATGGCGTATATTCCTCGACTGAATTGTGGAAGCCAAACCTCCTCTCCTCTCCCCTGAACCTTGGTCAATTATGCATGGCATTTAATCAGAGACTTCGCTCTGAGTATTAATATTATTAGTAATACAAAAATTTATAGTTAAAAATTGTTAGGGCATTTTGGCTATTCAATAATAGCTTAAGCTATAAAACACATTGCTAAAAAAACACACAAAAAAAAACAATTTTTTAATAAATTCAAATTATCTAATTTCAGAAATCGTTCACAAAAATAAAATGTTAATTGTGTTAAGAGTAAGAGTTCAGAGTTCAATCCCTAGTGAGGCCATGTTGTTTTTTTTTTTTAAAGATCATTTTCCCACCTTTACCCATATTAAGGATCAATTGAAAACCAGCCAGGGTGTGACGGTTAAGGGGTTGGGGAATTCTATCGCCCTTCTAACTCAAATTGGTGGCAACAGCTTACACCCTCATCCACTGCATGTGTAGAAGCCACAGATTAGGGGGCTATCCATAAAGACGTCGCGAATCTAAGCGGAGGGGGTCGCGAATATGTGACAATGTGTTATAAATGTGTCCAAGTTCAGGGTCAATTTTGTGACAAAGAGGATCGGGGTGAGGGGAGGGTGGGGGGGGGGGCAAAATGTGCGTTACGCCACTAATGTAGAGACTCAGAGAAAGGATACATATATTACAATTTTATTTTTTTTTAAATCTAACTACTCTGAGGGCTGGAATAAAGCTCTGGGGTCTGTGGAAACTGGGCATAGCCATATAATGGACGATAGTTCTTATCTACAAACAAGGCTACTGACATTGGGATGATTTTAACATGGAAGACTCTTGACTTCCCGCGTTAGCTGGCCAACATTGACATTGACACTCTTTCCCCCATCACCAGGCTGAAAGGATGGGCACACATTACACATCAGCAATATACCGACCATCCAAACCTTCGAAACTGCCCTCAAGACAGATCTCTTCATACTCTACTATTCCGGCTCAATTTCACCCCACTCTCATCAATGAACAAATGCTCCATGCTGCTGGGTGCCGTCCATGCCTAGACAGGGGTCAATAGTACTTGGGGTGGGCGAGTTCAATATTTTGACAAAGCTGTTTTTAAATGAGTAATTTTATCTACCGTGTAAAATTGTTATTGTTTTTTATGGTATGTTGTTGTTGTTTTTTTAAATTTTTTGTTAGTTTTTACAGCCAAGCCTGTTGGGCCTAGCTGGGGTACCGTGGTATATAAGACCACTTTAATAATAGGCCTACCAATAATATAACATAAAAATATGACATTTGGGACCAACCCCTTATAACATTATATAACATCAGGCCCATACCTTGGATATTATGGGCCCCAGGCAGCTGACAGAGTTCGGGTCCCTTTCGTGCTTCAAACATGGGCGTTTATTTTAGAAAATCGAAAAATGGCGGGCCAGTATCTAGCTTGGGCCCCTGACAAGTGCCATGGTTGTCCCCCCTCACCCCCACCCCCCAGGTGCGGGCCCGATATCATTTCCATTAACCATCCACCACCCCCACCCCACAATATTATATAACATTTCTAGCAACCCCCCCCCCACACACACACACATATACACACACACGCACATTTAAACACAGACACTGATAAGGTGCGGGCCCCATATCATTTCCATTAACCCTCCACCCCCCCCACCCCACAATATTATATAACATTTCCAGCAACCCCCCCCCCCACACACACACACACATACACACACACGCACATTTAAACACAGACACTGATAAGAATGCTATACAATAAAAATACGTTATAAAATAGGCCCTAGCACGAGTAAACAGTATTTACAGACATGATCATCATATCATAAAAAAAGTTCGTACGGAATGTACTTATTGGCTCCGTAAGATTATTAGAAGATTATGTCGTCAGAGATTTAGCATTTGTATTTTTTATTTTTTTAAATTTAAAAAATACGAATAATTTAGAACACTTGTTAAATTTCCTTTTGAGTTGGTGCGCCTGTTTCGGGGCTATGCACAACTTTAGTGTGTGGCGTCCTGGCTCTGGAAGGTCATTGACTTTGCCGTCTCTAATTAGCGAAAACTTTGATGGTACCGGTATACAGAACACAGGTACTTAAAGAGAGGGGAAAAAAAAGCTTTATTTATATAATAAAGAATTTAAATATAATCAAAATGAAAGAAAATGTATCCATAAAACAAGTTAAGCCCGAGGCAGATCGGCCACTCCCCTCCCTACCCCCCCCCCCCCCCCCCCCCATTTTATCACTTTTCCTACGCCTGTGTTTGTTTAATATAACAAACGTCATGATTCAGTTACGATGATGTTTTACTGGTAACACACGTTGACTCGTCTGTTGAAATTCAACTCAACAGTTTGACTCAGAGCCAAGTAGCCTAGTTAACTAGATAGTACATAGCTTTCAGTTTTTAAGTGTATTGACTCCTTGAGTGCCTTTACATTTCCAGCTAGCATTGCTTTATTTATTACTTACCATTTATTCTTGTGTTAGTGTAAATTTAACATAAAACGTCAGGTTGTTGTTTTTTTCCCTCGTGAGAATCATGATAATAACATTTAGATATTAAAATCTCCAACACACGCAATAAGCACAGACTGATGATGGTGTTACAGGCCAACCTGTGACAAGTGGAACACACTGGTAACACATGATCGGATCCCACCCTCGCAACACACTACACGGTTGTTGATGACACGGCGACCGACGTTTGTTGAAAGATGGGAAATTCCCGATTCCGTTTTATAGTGAAAATGGAATTCTCGGTGTCAACCAGTGTGAATTGAATCTCTTTGCAATGATAATGATAGCCATGATTGTTACCATTTGTAATTAAGCTACGCAATATATATATATATATATAATATAT